CCCCCCTTTTTGGGAAAGGGGATCCTCATCGCCCCCCTTTTGGGAAGGAGATGTGTTGGGGGTCCCCTTCCTGGGAATGGAGCGGGGAGACCGCATTCCCACACCCCCCATCCCCCCGGGAATGTGGTGGGAGCGGCCGCCCGCCATCCCTGTCCCCCCCCCTCCGCCACCATCCCCACTCCTCCTTCCTCCTCCTCCTCCTCCTCCTCCTTCTCTTTCTCGTCCTCCTCCTCCCTCTCTCCGTCACCGCGGGGGCCAGGCCTGAGCTTCATCGTCATCGTCATCATCTTCCTCTGTGTGGTTCCCCCCCCTCCTCCCCACCATCCACCCACCCATCCATCCCAAAATCCCGCCGAGCCCGGCGCTTCCATGGTGCGGGAAGGCGGCATGGCCCGGACCCCTTACAGCTCCTCGCAGGACATCCAGATGGACGTCTTGGACAACGCCGCGCTCCAGGTGACACCCCCGGGAATTCGGGGGGTCGCGAAGGAAGGGGGGGGGGGGTGGCAGCACCGCCCACACCCCCAGGGTGAACGGCGAGGGGGGGGGGCGCATCCCGTGGAATTCCCACATCGCCTCGGGAGCGATGGATGGGGCTCACCCCCCCTCCTCCCTAATCCCTGCACCCCGTAATGGAAGTGATTCCCGCCCCCCCCCTCCCAGCATCCAAAATAAAGGGTGTCCCCCCCATAACCCCAAATTCTCCACCCCCTCCTCCCAGTTTCCCAATCCCCGCGGGTTTGCCCACCGGGATGGGGAGGTGGGTTTTGGGGTGGGAGGGGGGGGTTGTGCCCACAAGGAAAGTTATAGGAATTGGGAAAACTCCGTTGGGGTGATGCCCCCCTCCACCCCCTCAGCGTGTCCCCTTGGGTTTGGGGGGAGGAGGGATGTGTCCCTCGCTGGTTCCAGTGGGGTGGGGGACACTGGGGGCTGCTGGAGCCGCTCATTCCCATTCCATGGGGACAGACCCCCCTCTCTTGGGGAGCATCAACCGCTTGGGGTGACAGTTTTTTTGGGGGAGAGGCACAGAGGACCCTCCGGAATTCCCTCCCTGAACCCCAGCCACATCCACCCCCTGTGGGTGGGATCTGGGGGGGTCCTGGACCTAAAAATACCCAGTGTGGGGACCCCCTACCCCTGGGCTGGGGGGCAGCTGGGCCCACCTGTCCCTTGGGGATACTGGGAGGGGGACAAACCCTCTCCCACCAGCGTGTCCCCCCTCTTGCCCCCCACCCAAGGTACCCCCTACCCTCTGGAGCTGCCTCAGGGTGGGCACTGGGGCCTCCCTGTCTCCTCCAGTCCATCCCAGTGGGAGGGAGCAGGGGGGTCCCTTTGGGGTGGGGGGTGTGGGTGGGTGTGGGGGTGCACGTGGTGCCCACGCTGGCAGGAGGGGGGAGCTCGGGCACCAGGGGGCTGGTGGGGGGTGGTGGTGGGTGTTTGAGGTGCCCCCCAAAACTCGACCCCCCCTGGTGAGGCTGCAGTTTGAGCCCCCCCATCTCCCTCTCCATGGAGTGGGAGGTGCAGCCCCCCAATAACGTCACGGGTGTCCCTGGGGTGGGGGAGCCCCATCCCCTCCCGTGCCTCAGTTTCCCTTCCTTCACCCCCCCGACCCCCCGGGTTTGCCTTCAGGGAGAGGGTTTGGGCATCCCTGACAGCTGGAGCGGGGGGGGGGGAGCAGAGGTGTTTTGGGGGCTTGGGGGGGGTCCAACCTGCCTTCGTGGCCCCCCTGTTCCCCCCCAGGGCAAGTACAGCAGGCGCAAGAGCCGCTTCAAGCGCTCGGACGGCAGCACCTCCTCCGACACCACCTCCAACAGCTTCGTCCGCCAGGTGAGGGGGGGCACGGCACTTCTGGGGGGGCCCAGGGGCCCTTTTCCCCCCGGGCAGTAAAGTAGGGGGTCCCACCGAGCCAGGCCTGGGGGGTACAGGCATTGCAGTGGCTCAGCCAGACCCGGCTGTGCCCCCCTGTCCCCTCAGTGCCCTGCAGCGGGTCCCCCCAAACCGGGAGGGGTTGGGGTGTTGTTGCAGCCCCGTCTCGGGGTGCCAGGGAAGGGGCACAGCGTTCGATCCGCCCCCCCCCGCCCCCCCCCCCCCCCCCGCCTCGTACCCCACCCCCCAGCCTGGCACTGGGCTAAATATACCCGGGGCTGAAACCTGAGCCCCCGGAGCCCCAGCCCTGCGCCCGCCCCGCTCGCCCCCGGCTCTGCCACCATGGAGATCCCCGGCAAAGACCACCCCAATGCCCCGGTGAGCGACTCCCCCCCCCGGCCCCACAGCCCCTCCAGGACCCTCCCGTGCCCACCCCACCCTCGGTGCTCCCTGGGGTTGCTCCCGGGAGCTGGTGGGGCTCTGTGGGGTGAGGGGGTCATGTCTGGATCCCAGTGACTTCCCCACAAAGTCCCCCCTGCATGGGGCAGGAGAGGGGGCAGCAGGTCTCTGCCCCGTGGGTTTTGGGGGGGAGTCCCTGGGGGGCTGTTGCCCCGTGGCTGGGGGCTGCGTGAAGGGGCTGAGTGACCCCCAAATCCCTGGTGTTCGGAAAGGTTTGGACAAATCAGGGACGGGGGGTCTGGTGGGGCTGGGGAGGGATTGTAGAGGGGCTGAGGGGGTGGGGGGTGGGTGACTTTGTCGTCCCCCGTGGCACTCACCACCCTGGGGCTGGGGGATCCCCTGGGTGTCCCCCGCCAGGCTCCAGGCCCGGGGTGTGAGCAGGGGGTCCCCAATCCCAATCCAGCTCCAGCCTTGTCCTGGGGTGACCCCGAGTCTCCCCACGGCGCCCTGCCCCCATTGCCATGGGACCCTCTTTGCGGGGGGGCAACACTGTCCCTGCTGGCCTGTCCTGGGCTGGGGGGCAGCCGGGGGGTCAGGGGGGTCTCTGTTGCCTTCCCAGCTCTCGGAGAGGCCCCAGGATCCGGCGGGAGCGGGTCGGTGTCACGTTCCCTGTCAGAGCAGTGGGAACAGCTGCCCTGTCCCTCGGCCTTCCGTGACCCCGCGGGTGGGATGGCCCCGGGCAGGGGGTGGGGGCTTCACCCCCACGGGAGTGGGCACGGGGGATGCGGGGGGGTCACAGGGCTGCAGGGCCGGGCTCGGGGGTGGGCTCTCCCCTCTGGGGGAGGCCAGGGTGGGCTGAGCCCCCTCTCCCTGCTCTCCCAGGGCTCGGCAGAGTCCTACACCAGCCGCCCCTCGGACTCGGATGTGTCGCTGGAGGAGGACCGGGAAGCGCTGCGGAAGGAGGCTGAGCGCCAGGCCATGGCCCAGCTGGAGAAAGCCAAGGTGGGAGAGCTGAGGAGGAGCCCCCCCTGCGACCCTTGCAGCCCCCCTGGACCCCCTGCCCCAGCAGGATGGGCCCTGCCAGGCACAGGGACACCCCCCATATTCCTGCAGCATCCCACTCCTCTGGAACAGTGGCACTGGGAGGGCAGTGGGGTCTGCTGGGCAGAACTGGGAGCCTGGGGCACCCGAGTTCTCTCACCCATTGCCTCTCAGTAATTAGCTAATGAGCCCCTCGTTGTCCCTGGGGTGGGGGGGGTTGTGGCCACGGTGTCCCCAACCCAGTCTCTGGAGCTGAGCCAGCCCTGCTGCCCCACTGGTGGCACCCGTGCTGTCACCATCACCTGCCTGGCCTGTGGGATCCCAGTGTGGTGGGATCTCGGGGGTTTGGGGTGGGCAGGGGGGGCATCCTGACCCCTCTCCTCCTTGGGCAGACGAAGCCGGTGGCGTTTGCCGTCCGCACCAACGTTGGCTACAACCCCTCGGCCACCGACGACGTGCCCGTGCAGGGCATGGCCATCTGCTTCGAGCCCAAGGACTTCCTGCACATCAAGGAGGTGGGCAGTGGGCTGGGGGGGCCGGTGGCAGCCCCGGGGTGGGTATTGGGGGGTGGTTTTAAGGTGTTTTTGCCCCCTCGCCCCGTCCCCGGCGCAGAAGTACAACAACGACTGGTGGATCGGGCGGCTGGTGAAGGAGGGCTGCGAGGTGGGCTTCATCCCCAGCCCCGTCAAGCTGGAGAACATGAGGCTGCTGCAGGAGCAGAAGATGAGGCAGAACCGCCTGAGCTCGAGGTGGGGCTCATCCCGACCCCCCCA